TAAAAAAAATCCATCATTTCTAATATTAAAAAAAAAGGAGTATTTTATACAAATTTAAAAATAAGATTGATCCAATGAATCATTATGAACTTCCACTTGTAGAATGACCCAAGTGATCTATCTTTTGCATGATTGAATTTAATAGTGAATTGCCATTGATAATTTGAGTCGTAGCAATTACATATTCTCGTTGACCTTTTTTATAAAAAAGAATTTGAATTTTAATCACAATATAATCAACTAATCCGATTATACAATAAATATATTACCTTCTTCTTGCTGAGCCATAAATCTTATTGCTGCAATTTCAGTGTACGTACATCCTCCTAAGAAAAATATAAGAGTAACGCGAGGTTGCTGTCCCTGGATCAATTCTAAAAAAATATAAAAAATATCCAATTATCTGTTTTTAACCAGAAATTTACAAATTTGTTATAGTGAATCTTTATATTTACTTTTTGAACGGATAGTTCCATCATCAAGTCTCTGAACTTCATCAAATGATTTTCCTGGTAACATTCTCAGAACATCTTCATACCCTTTCCATCCGATGCTTCTAGTAGAAACACCAGTCCCAACAACATTATTAGCCAAGCCAGTACCCACGGGGTTAATGGATGTTGGACAACCTTTCGTTACACATTGTATCAGACGTACGCTCAACGGAGCATATCCTGAATATACATAAGATATATCCTGTGGGTTATGTTCATCAACCTCATCAACAATTAGTTGAAGCTGTTTTCTGATGCTACTAAACTTATTATTAGTGGATCCTTGTTTAACGAACATATTTAAGCGTTCCAAATTCAAGAGTGTTTGAAGATGTTCAAACCCATACGTCTTAACAGTAAATATTCGTTAGTTAATTTTAGCTTTCAGATGATACTATTATAAAATAAAAAAGTACCTGTAAAATTTCTTTTTTAAAAAATTCAAAGCTCTTCTGCTTCAAGCCACCATTTACAATGCTCAGTAGACACAACAATCTTAACACTTGCACAATTGGCACTTGCCGGTTGATCATTTCTTCAATATAGTCATTTTGCAAGTTTATATCTATTCCTGCAGCTAAGTCTGTAAAAATCGAAAAGTTTTGCGAATCATAAATATTTCTTGTATAAATAATATCATGTATTAAAATTTAATAAATTGTTTACTTTGTTGCACCTCAAGAGCTTTGTTAAATTCATGTGTAACAGTGTATGCCATAATTTCTTCAGCTATACCAGTATCTAAAATTAAAACTGGTTAAGGAATAAAAGAAAAAATTTTTTTTCAGTATTTAGTAGTCTAACTTGATTGACGATAAAATAAGGATACGAGTCCTTAATGATTGATGTTCAGACTGAAGCCCTCCTAATTTATTTATAAATTCACGAATTTGTGCAACTGTTTTTGCTTGATGTCTAACCTAATTTGCATGAGTATGCAAATATATAAATTAGTTATTTGTAAACATTTGATAAAGGTCAAATTATTTAATCAAGCATACTTCATAATCTTCATTGATCCTTTTTGCAACTCTATTAAGAACTCCTCCTACAACTGCAAAATTCATATCTCTCAACTGAACGAATAATTTATCACTGGAGTTAAGTGCAATCTTTTTTTTCTTAGCTGGAGGTGGAGGCGAAGGTTGTGCCGGTGTGGTAGTAGTCGTCGATGTAGTTGCTGATGTTGCAGCAGCTGATTTTTGTGAGGCAGGGCCCACAATAGATGAATCAACTTCTACGTGTGAAGCCCTTATACTAAATACTTCATCTATCAATCCTTCATAAGTTAATTGTGTGCAAAGAGGAGTAATGAGATCAACGGATCGATCTATAATAATTAGAGAATCGATGCTCTGTGATACTGATAATGTGGACGATGGATCGTCTACTGCAACTTCTTTACGCATACGAAGTAACATATCAGCTAGATGCTAGAAGGGAAAATAAGAGTTAATATATTAATATGAATAATTTCAATCCGATAGATATAATCTTACTGACTTTAGCACAATCCCCTTTTCCAATTACTCTCGGGAAAAGGCCGAATTTTGTCTGGAGTTTCATAAGTGCTCTTGCCGCATAATAAATTGAAGTAAAATCACCGTCCTATATAATTTAGGTTGGTCAAAACTTCACATAATTTTGTTTTTATAACCCCTACTTTTATAAAACATAAATACCAAGTAGAGCTCTTTAAAGGTATTATCCAACTCTAAAGACAATAAATCATCTTCAAACGGTATTAAATCTAGATGATATTCTCCAATCGTGATACGTAAGAATCAAATAAGTTAAGGAAAATAATCTTGTCATAATAAATTGAATTTAATGAAAATGTAAAGGAAGGATATCTCCAAAAACACCGGTTTCCTCTAAAACCCTTTCGCAAATTTTAGTCCTTCGAGGAACAAAGAAAAGATTATATTCATAATCTGATGAGGGATCGCTCTTTTGATGATGACCTATATGTTCTATAAATAACAATAATGTATTAGAAAATAATCCGAGATTTTTAATATTAAAAACAGGACTGTAAAATATATACCAGCAATATATTTCATATAATTCAATTGGGGACGACATATATAAATCAAACTTTTTAGATCGGTTTCGAAAGGTCCTGGTTGTAGATAATGCACCTTTTCTACGCCATGTTCCTTGATTAAACAAGATTATTAATAAATCTCTCATTTTCTGCAACAATCTTGAAAAAAAAGAGATACCTTTAACAAAGAAAATTCAGCTATTAAACTCAAAGGTGCACTAATATTTGGATCCAGTACTAAACATTTTTTCCCTCTAACCTATACGTTTATCAATAATAAATTAAATATACAAAAGTATACAAGATTAAGCTAAAGGTGTCCGTAACAAAAGGTTCACATACTGAATCTAAAACATTGGTCAATTGTTTTCTTGCCAATTCCCTTAAAATAGCGACATTCAAAGAAGAATTTGTATTTCCCAGGTGAGACATTTTCAGAAAGTTAATCTTGATTTGTTAAACAACTAATAATATCAAAAATTTTTCGTGATTTAAGTCGTTACACAACATTAGGGCGGTTATACAAAATACACGTGTTATGCATAGTCTATTCTCGAAGTTCTTAATATAAATAGATCGGTTTCTGATATATTAAAAAAGGGGGAACTGCCGGGAAAATAAAAAAAATCTAATCTGATCCTAAAAATCATGGATTTTTTTCGCAAAATACATTCTTTTAAAATTAATTGAACCAATCATATTAAACTTATCCCATCATCTACTCTAAAATGCATCTGATCAATTTTAGTGTTATAACATAAGGATGACACTCAAAGAAATTTAAAATGTAATAAAACGTAAAATATAATAAGCTTTATTATTGTCCAGTTTTATTTATGGAAATATCCAAGGAAATAAAAAGAAATTTTGAATAAATTTTTTTTTTTTGATATTTATAAAAATATTTGCAAAACCAATCGAATATTTCAATCATCATCAGAATCATCATCACACTGGAGATAATATGAGGGGTATACATTTGTTACTTTATCCCAATACCAAAACCCATTAGATAACTTATAAAAATCTGAGGTGATAATCATTCCGGGCGTAGCAAATCTCCCTAATTCGGGAGTGACAGTGATATGAAAAGGTTCCGCATTTTCTACGTCACGCTCACGTAACATTATCCTCGTGAAATTTGTTTCGTTATTAATTGCTTCGTTATTTGAATTAGTTGATTCACTAATATTCACCGCCGAATTTTCACCATTAGTTTGTGCCTCGTTAATTGGATTAGGTGATTCATCTCTATTTACCGCTGATTTTTCATCATTAGCTTCTTGTACTTCTTTATTTG